TTGTCCTTCCTTCTTTCTCCCTCTGCTATTTCTTCTCTTTCATTTACGGTCTCTCCTCCCTTCTCTACTTCACCTTCCTCTCTCCTCCGTGTCCCGAGCTCCGCGGCTATGGCCGCTACTTCGTCTTGGACCGCACAACCAATCTTACGTTACTCCTCCCTCTCTCTCTTCGGGACAATATCTTCAGCGCAGGCATGTGGTAAACCAATCTTGTATCGCTCAACTCTCTCTCTCTCTCTCTCTCTCTCTCTCTCTCTCTCTCTCTCTCTCTCTCTCTCTCTCTCTCTCTGCCTTCTTCGTCGTTGTCCTCTGTGCAGGTACGCGTCACCTTCCTCCACAGCGCAGCTATAGCGGACTTCTTCTTCACGGTGGCGCACTTCAGCTATGGCGGACTTCTTCTTCACGGTGGCACACTTCAGCTATGGCGCCCTATGATGGCGCGCGTCTCTCCCCTGCTGCAACGGCGAGATAGCGGGTACCAGGCCCGATACCAGTGCAATCAGACTCACTTTCCTCTTCGCTTCGCGTGCATACAAACAGATGGTGATTCACACTGGCGCATAGCGCCCAACTCAAAGCTCAGAGATATGGAAACCAAGAACACAGTTCGGATGCAAACTCGCTTCARCAGGCTATGGTGCACCAGCACCTATACATCCCAACTCTAGTCACTGTGTCCAACACCCCTGTTCGCTCACACTTCAACTCTGGATCACCCTGGATATCCCACACACAACCCACTGTACACTCGCACACTCGCACGCGCCACTCTCTCTCCTATCAGCTATGGCGGCTATGGCCTCTGCCTACCCTATCGCTATGGCTAAGCTTCCTTCTCACCCACTTCGTCTTCGGGCCTACTGCAGACCACCGCTTCCGCATGGCTTACGCAGAAATGAATGAATGGCTGGGCGCTGCCTCTTGATTTATACTTCTGGAACTCGTTGGTCTGCCTCTTTCCATTGGCCTATGGTGCACACAATCCCTCATGGTACTTGCTGGACTGGACTGGGACTGATTGGACCAGTACCGCTGACTGCATGAGTTTGCACTGCCAACTCGATGCAGTCGCACTGCCGACGTAACGCAGTTGGGCGCCCCACTTGTCCACTTGCCTTTGACTAAAACGTGAGACCGCTTCGAAAGGCCACTTCCGGAACTTCCCGAAGTTTGTGGACTTGGCCTTTCGGGTACTGTAGCAGCTACGACCTTGACCTTTCAGGACTGTAGCAGCTACGACCTTGACCTTTCAGAATACCTACAGCTACGACCTCTACAGAGCTGTGACCCCTACCCGACAGACCTACAGATCGAATCCCTACATCTACACAGTCCTATGAGAGACAAACAACAACTAACAAAACACAGGTCACGGGCTCAACACTCAGGGGTCAACTCGATACTGTACATGGGTAAGGTAAGGTTTGGGGATCGAACCCTGGGATCGGCATCTGCCTCTGCAAAGGTGAAAAACGTTTCACATCCAAGGACTAATTAGTAATTACAGTATCCAGAAACTCTTAGACTCCTTAGGAACACACAGGCTTTGACAAAATCCTCGCTGCAGAGATGAAAAAGCTCCCATTTGTTTCAAGGCGACCTGAGGCAGGCCAGAGCCGCCAGACACAGTCCACACTAGAAAAGCTGGATCTGTCCCAGTTTGGGCATTCATTCCGCCTGGTTGAATTCATGCTGGAGCTCGTGCGCTGGAGACCACCTTGCGCGAGGCAAAAGTAGGTATAGCGAGGCCACTGCCTCCATAGCTAGCAGTAGGGAAAAAGAGTGGACAAAAGGTGGGAGGTCAGATCTGGCATGTGGGAGAGAATGATGCTTACCTGTTGATGCTCATCATTGTTGGTGACTTCACTTCTTCTTCAAGTATGTTGCATTGTCCTTCTCAGGCTTGATTCAGTTGGTGCTTGCTGAATTCATGCAGGCCCCAAGTCAGTAATAATACCCCTTTGGGCGTTTAACTTTGAGTATCCTTGCCTGGCTCGCCACAATTTCGGCGGTTCTTGAACTGAAATCAGCTTCTACTGGTGGGAACCCCGTGCACCCTGACGATTTCGGTTCAGAAAACGCCGAAATTGCGGCCAGGAACGTCGAGGTTACATGCCCGAAGTGGTAAGAGGGTCTCATACTACATTGACCTATCCAGGAGGCCTAGTGCCCAGTCGAAGCTAGAATCGATTCCTAGTTATTCATTGTCCACGACTTGAAGTCTTGTTGATGTTCTTTACCCAAAGTTCAGGGTTGATCCCACTTGCTATGGTATCAACACGATCCAAGCAGCTTGGCAGCTATGACTTCTATGCCGAGATGGGATGGCTCCAGTCTATTGGTGAGAGCGGCACCTGCCGGAAATCGGGTCCAGTATCCCAGTCAGAGTTGATTCCCAGTTCTCATCACCCTCGTTATTCGTCTTGCACCACTTGACTTGCTGATGTTCACTACCGAAAGTGTAGAGCTGGTGCCACCAACCACAGTACCACACAGTCAAAGCAGCTTGGCAACTATGGCCACCTATCGTTCCCACCTCGGGGTACATCAAGGCTCCTAGGTACACCAATTACCTCTCACAAACCATTGCTTCCTTCTGTGTTCACTATGGCCAGCCACTGCTAGATGTGGTGTCTGCTTCCCCCTCCATCGCAGTTCCATGTATGGTGGCCTCAGGTCTCTGAGGCAGCAAGGCTCCGTTTCCACGGAGATGGCAGGAAGATAAAATGCTCTATGCTCCAGTGCTTGCGACCCCCACAGACTCTTTTGACTGACTAGAGCCTTGACTGAATAGATAGGTGTGATGCATCATAATGAAGGGCTGAGATGGATGATGGACAATGGAGCATGAGACAAGGTAGACAACAGCGCGTCCTGGGTGCATCAAGAAGCAAGTGGGCTTTGCCATCGTTTGACTTCGGGGTCCTTCAGAATTGCCTTGGGAGGTATTAACTTCTTGTCTTTCTCTCTTTGGAAAGCTTAATACACATTTTGTTAAAAGTGAATCTTTTATTTGTTCACTTTTAGTAATGAAGTTGAAATTGGCACTGGCAATCTCAACTGAGGAGTGACATACATGACAATAAAATGATACATTGACTAGTATGACTGCAAGTACACTAAGCTGTGCACAACACAAAAGGGCGTTGGCGAAGTGGTCAGGAGTGTTGTACCAGACCCTGTTACAAATTGGGGCAGTTGGTCTGTTGATGACCTAACTGGCGGCAACGAAAACACCCGTTGTGTTCCTGGAGGTATATGCGTTCTGCGGGTGTGAGTTTCTGGAGGCGGCGGGGTGGAGAGGAAGAAGGCGGTCGAGAGGCACGATCCTGGCGTTCCATCCGTATAAGGTGGGCGGTCTGGAGTTCCTCGATGGTGAATTGGGAGGGGTCGAGAGAGGCAGTGTCGAAGTCGTCATCGGAGGTGGGTTGAGTGGTGTCGTTATGGAAAAAGAGGGGGCGGGAGGGAGCGGGCGCAGACTGGTGATGGGGGTGGAGGAGTCGATTGTGGTGAAGCATGCGAGAGAGGAGGTCAGCAAGGGGCATGTCGGGTTCGTGGGCGAGGGCGGTGGCAAGATCTTTGTGGCATACTCGCTTGATGCGAGAGATGAACGCAAAGTCGGGAATGACGGTGGTGGGGAGGTGATGGCAGAGGGAGCGGATGTATTGGACGAAGCGGTCTGTGGGACCGGTTTGGCGGAGGTGGCAGAATTGTTCGAGGTAGTCGTCAATGGTTTTCTGGGGGTGGAAGGTGGCAGCGAGAAGTTTGGCCCATTGGAGGAAGGAGTGACGTGGTCCTCCAGAGGCTCGGCGGTTGCTGACTTCAGCCATCCACCATTTGGCGGCATTGCCGAGGAGGCGGGAGGTGGCAATGGGGAGCCAGTGGGCAAGGGGCATGTG